GTGCGCCCCACCCTCTGCAGCCCAGCTGGGGCCTCTGACCCGTCCTGCCTCCTGCCTATGGTCCTTGCTTCCTCCGCAGGCCAGGCCCATACCTGACTCCTGACCAAAAGCCAGGGGGGACGGTGGCTATCCTGGCAGACACCCACAGGGTCTGAGGGCACCTGGACCAGACTCCCCATCTCCAGGCCGGACCCCACCTGGGCAGACCCGACACCACACAGCCCATGCAACTTCTCATGCTGGGGTGCCAGCCATGCCCTGGGAGAGAGCCTGGCAGTGGGCTCACCTGGCTAAGTGTTGGTTACATTGGCTGAGAATATATTTTTTTAATATTTATTGATTTTTTTTACATAGAGGAAGGGAGAGGGATAGAGTTAGAAACATCCATCAACTGCCTCCTGCACACCTCCTACGGGGATGTGCCCGCAACCAAGGTACATGCCCCTGACCGGAATTGAACCTGGGACCTTTAAGTCCGCAGGCCGAGGCTCTTTCCACTGAGCCAAACCAGTTAGGGCTAAAATGTGATTTTTTCAAAAGTACTCTTGGAAATTACTATGGCATCATAATGTTGCTTTCTGTTGGGTATCTTAAACCCACTTACCTCAGTTAACTGCAGGTAGGATTTTTTTTCTTAATAGGTACAGACCTCTTACTCTTTTGTCATACTAGCTAAAACTATTACTTTTTCCATATGATTTAGATTGAGGGGTCAGTGAAATCAAGTTGAGGAGGAAATTACAAATTACTTTCAGGGCAAAAGTGAGGATAAATTTACAATGTCCAATGGGCAGCAACTGAGAATCTTATCCTCTAGGTCCATTTATCACATGATCATAAACACATTAATTAATCCATGTTTCCCCCCATCTATAACTTGGCAATAGTAATTTGTTCTACCTCCTTCACAGAGAGGCTGTCAGGGGTTGTTGCCTGCAACATGCACACATGTCCACAGATTACAGGTACCAGAAAGGAAGACAGTAAAGCACCATTATTACCTTATTTATATCCCACAGAACCAGTTTGCTTTTAAGTTTGGCAAATTCATAGGCCGTCAGTCTCCCGATTCCATGCCCAGCTCCCGTAATCAGGACGATTTCTCCAGTGACTGACTTCCTCTTCTTAGGAATAAAAGACTTCAGGAGAGATTCTAAGATGAAGACGAGCAGTAAGGGCAGAAGCAGGAGGCAGTCCAGAACGAATTTTATCATTTTTGTTGCTGCGAGGATTGGGGATGTTTACCAATCACTCTAAATTGCTGAGGGAGGGGTGGGAGGGCTGTTCCGTCTAACCCCAGGGAGAGTAAAAGCCAGAGCAACGCAGGGCTGCTTTATCAAAGGGAAACAAACAACCCTGAAACCGTTCCTTCCGCTGGGCTGGGCTTGGTGAGGTCCTTCGCAATTGGCTCGGACTGCAGCGCGGAAATCGGGGAGGGACAAGCCGGAGGAGAGCAAAAGCCAAAGTCGTCTTTCACCCACTCCCTCCCGACCTCCGGAACCGAACCCCGCCGCCTGTTTTCCTAAATTGGATGCATTCCTCTTAAAGTTACAAGGGTAATTGACAGGGTCCGCAGCCCAGAGGCTTCTTTGAAACTTGATGGTTGCCCATTACTACTAGTTAGCGATGCAAATATCGTTGTCTGTCTTAAATGAACCTGGGAAGGGGCCAGTCGTCCCGCTCCCGGCTGGGAAATGATGCTGCATCACATTTTAGTTTGGAGGAGAGAGGAAAACTTGTCCTTTCTTGGGACAACAATAATCAAGACCCAGGAAATACCTGGTCATATTAAAGGGGATTGTTTCCACAAGGAAGAGCTGTATATTTGCCAGCGGTTCTCAACCTGTGGGTCGCGACCCCTTTGGCGGTCGAAGGACCCTTTCACAGGGGTCGCCTAAGACCATCCTGCATATCAGATATTTACATGACGATTCATAACAGTAGCAACATTACAGTTATGAAGTAGCAACGAAAATAATTTTATGGTTGGGGCACAACATGAGGAACTGTATTTAAAGGGCCAGAAGGTTGAGAACCACTGGATAACCCCTTTCACTCACCCTAATTAGAATTTGTGAAAAAACATATGTTACGATTTAGGAATTGTGTATTTATCCAGGTTAATAAATCACTGCCCACAGAATGGATAATAAACTAGAAAGAAAATTTTTGTCTCAAAATTGTAATTTTTGGTTTAGTAGCCTTTATATGTGAGTACTCAATATGTCACTGGTGATTTTTTTTTTTTTTAAATCCTAGTGATTGGTTATTGAAAGAAAAGACCAAACTCTGGGCTTGTGTGCAGTAAGAGCTTAATGTCTCTTGCATGTATTTTTTCAATTCCGTTTTTGACAGTAATTTTATTGGGACTTTTTGCAATACATTACGGTCTCTTCTTAGGAAGAGACTTTTGTCAGGAGGGGAACTAATGGTTACCCTTTTATGTTTAAGAGGCAGGAAAACCGCAAGAAATGGAAGCTCCCAACGAATTCATACTCCTTCCTCTTCCTTCAGCAGCCCTACACTGTTAGAGGGAGGAAGGGGTGTGACAGTCCTGCTGAGGCAGAACACTGTGGAGTTCTTGGAAGTTCTGAATCTCAACCGCAACTCTTTCTAACTCTTTCTAACTCTTTCTTACGGCCCCCACATCCAAGTTTACAAAGCCACATGCATATCAATAGAAAGTTTCCAGTTTCCAGGGCTTTTTTCTCCATCTATTATTTCATTTGCTGTTCAAAAAGCCTTCTAGGAAGTACAGAAGAAAAATTTTCCTCCTTATTTTATAAACGAATAAATCAGTTAGATTGACTATTAAAGCTCCCACAGCAAGTAAAAATGTGAAGCTAGATACAGGGTCAGTATTTATTAAACTTTTTTTGCCCAATACCTATAGGAAGAAACCACATTTTCCATGGTGACCTAGTATATGTATGTGTTTGCTTTTGTATATGATGACTTTAATATATACTGAGGCTCAGACTATTTTATCTATTAAAAATTTGTATTAAGTAAAAACTGGGTAGTTTTCACTCACTAAGTTGACCAAGGAAAGAATCCAAGAAACATTCATCCCTGAATCCCAAATGTGTACGTGGCTTCACCGCCCTGAGCATGTGTTCTAATCTGTGAAACTGGGATGCTACTAGTACTTACTATACAGGATTCTGGTGAAGTTCAAAAACGTTAACAAAAAGCACAGTACTTTATCTACTGTTCAACTCTATATAAATTATAATTAACCCTAATATAATTATAATCTGAATGGTTTTGTGAGTGATGATTAGCTACTGATCTGATACAGTGGTAAGTACATGACTTTATTACAGTATATTCGTGGTTTTAAAAAATACCTGTTACCCTGGCTGGTGTTTCCCAGTGGTTAGAGCATCTGCCCTCACACTGAAGGGTCTTGGGTTCAATTCCCCGTCAAGGGTACCTACTTGGGTTGCAGGTTTCATCCTGGCCGGGATTGGGGGTGGGGGGTGGGGTGGAGGGCAGTTCTGCAGGAGACAACAAATGTGTCTCTCTCAAATCAATGTTTCTCTCCCCGCCCCCCCACCTTTTCTTCCCTCCCTTCCACTTTCTAAAAATCAATGAAAATATATTCTTGGATGAGGATTAAAAAGAAAGGAAAATAAAAAAATTTAAAAATACCTTTCATTAGGAGAGTTTAACATGTTTTATATGTGCAACATCTTAACTTCATGCTGCCTTCCCACCTATTGAAGTGGCATTAAAAAGAATAAGGGATTCCTCATCAATGTTTCGAGCACTCACTATGTCTGGCCAGCCATTATGCTGAATGTTCACATAACCTACACGGTTCACTTTATCCTCTCAATAACCTTAAGCAGTAGGTTCAATTAGGAACTCTGTTATATGAATGAAAAAATAAAGGATTAAGAGAAATTCAGCAAATCATCTGAGGTCATAGTATAAATGGTAGAGCTGAATTTAAGCCTAGGCCAACATGACTGTGCTAGATTGCCTTCTTTCTTAGGGCAAAAAAGAAAAATTAATCCAGTTCTAAATCACTGTGAAAATCCAAAAGGATCAAAACTCCCACTATTCATAACTCCAACAGCATTCATAACACCTCCTTCTCATGTGATTAGGTCACTTAACTGACTAATTAGCAGGCAACAGAGCACAGCTGTTAAAACAATGAGTTTTAATTCCTATCAAGGGTTTTATTAGTTACTAGAGGCCCACAGCCCGAAGATTCGTGCAAGAATGGGCCTTCCTTCCCCTGGCTGCTGGCCCGGAGCCGCCTTTCCGCCTTTCCACACTGCCCAGAGGCCCCGCCCCCGGCCGCTTGGCTCCTGTGTACGTAAATTAACCATATGTAATACTATATGTAATACTTTAAACAAAACAAAAATAAGTAAAAATACTACTAAAAAATGCTAAAAAACAAAACAAAAAACCCAACCAAACAAAAAGTAACAGCTTGGTTTAGTAAGTGAGATATTTAAACAGCACAGAGCATGACATCTTACATACAGATGTACGTGATGAATGGTAGCTGTTGCCATAGCTGAACTGGTCTTCTGAAAGGCTGTGGCTCGATAGAATCCTAGTGGATTCAGGACAAAAGGCCACCCTACTTTGCAATTGCACAGCCATTCTTCTCCCCATTGCTCTAGAAAACGCTGAGGAAGCACAGCCAGAAGTGATAGCTGAAGGAGGACCTTCAAAGAGCTCTCCTGTCCTCCTGGGATAGAAGCCTCCACAGTTGGCTATGTAGTCTGGATTTGAGAGCTGGAGGGAGTTAGATGTTAGCTTGTCCAGCCACATCTGGTTTTTCTTTGTTCCAAGTAATGAATCTATGAATTTAAAGTAATGAGGATATCTGGTTTAAACATGATTCAGCAGGGCAGATATTAAAAACGCACAGTCTGACTTTTGTCTGACTCCTCAGATCAACGACTTTTAGTCCATTTATCTGTCTATTACAGAGGTGACTTACAAGCCTCTAATAAAGGCTTTCAATGCCATGACCTGATTAATCAATAGAAGACATTATCAATAAATTTTCTCCTGTAACAGCTGAGGTTGTAGCTTACTCTTCCCCTAATTCCCTCCTCCCTCTACATACAGGGTGTCTCAAAAAATGTATACAGGTTGTACACACTTTAACAGCTGATAGCTCAATTGATGTTGCCTTTCAGATTTAACCCATTGGAATTAATAATTATTCAAAGAGTGTATACATTTTTTGGGACACCCTATATATTCCCAATATAATTATGTGATAATATTTAGCATGTCAGTCATCCTCTCATTTTGAACACTTCACAAGGAGTCATTAGTTAAGTGACTGGGTGAAGTCCTCTATTTAAAATTAGAACAAACAAAATTCTTTCAAAAGTGATCTCTTCTAACATCAACATGACAGAGGGAGATATAAACTACATTGCACACAATGTCTAGTAAACTCTTCTTTGAGTTATCAATGAATAGGAGTGAATGGCAATGCTCTTCATATATTACTAGAGGCCCGATGCACGAAGATTCATGCAAGAATGGGCCTTCCTTCCCCTGGCTGCTGGCACTGCCTTCACGCTGGCTCAGAGCCGCCGCACCGCCTTCGCTCTGGCCCGGAGCCGCCTTTCTGCCTTTCCACACTGCCCAGAGGCCCCACCCCCGGCCGCTTGGCTCCTGTGTACGTAAATTAACCTGCCATCTTTGTTGGGTTAATTTGCATACTCCTGATTGGCTGGTGGGCATCATGAAGGTACAGTCAATTTGCATCTTTCTCTTTTATGAGTGTAGGTGTGATATCTGGTTAATTAATGACCCTCGCCTGAGGTATTAGTTATTTCATCTGTAAAATGGATATAATAATAACTTGGTGGGGGTGGGGGGAGCGGGTAAGAGATCAACCAAAGGACTTGTATACATACATATAAGCCTAACCAATGGACACAGACAACAGGGGAGTGAGAGCATGAGTGGGGCAGTGGGGGACAAACTCCAAAGAGCTCTCCTGTCCTCCTGGGATAGAAGCCTCCACAGTTGGCTATGTAGTCTGGATTTGAGAGCTGGAGGGAGTTAGATGTTAGCTTGTCCAGCCACATCTGGTTTTTCTTTGTTCCAAGTAATGAATCTATGAATTTAAAGTAATGAGGATATCTGGTTTAAACATGATTCAGCAGGGCAGATATTAAAAACGCACAGTCTGACTTTTGTCTGACTCCTCAGATCAACGACTTTTAGTCCATTTATCTGTCTATTACAGAGGTGACTTACAAGCCTCTAATAAAGGCTTTCAATGCCATGACCTGATTAATCAATAGAAGACATTATCAATAAATTTTCTCCTGTAACAGCTGAGGTTGTAGCTTACTCTTCCCCTAATTCCCTCCTCCCTCTACATACAGGGTGTCTCAAAAAATGTATACAGGTTGTACACACTTTAACAGCTGATAGCTCAATTGATGTTGCCTTTCAGATTTAACCCATTGGAATTAATAATTATTCAAAGAGTGTATACATTTTTTGGGACACCCTATATATTCCCAATATAATTATGTCATTATTTTTGCTACTTTTATAAGGTTATATTTTAAACGTTTACACTTTTTTTTTTTCTTATTCCAGCAACTACCTGCTGAAATTATTGGCTTCACTTTTATTTATTTATTTATTTATTTATAATATATCTTTATTGATTTCGGAGAGGAAGGGAGAGGGAGATAGAAACATCAATGATGAGAGAGAATCAGTGATCGGCTGCCTCCTGCACACCCTTTATGAGGGATGGAGCCCGCAACCCAGGCATGTACCCTTGACTGGAATCGAACCCATGACTCTTCAGTCCGTAGGCTGACACTCTATCCACTGAGCCAAACTGGCCTCGATTTTATAAGAGGAGGGTATGCCCTGTTCTTTTCCTCAGCGGCCCATTTCTACCTTCCAGCTCCCATTTTCTGCACATTTACTTTCACAGTGCCTGGACTGATAATATGTACTTCCCATTTTGTAACTGTAACATCTCCTGTGCTTGGTCTATTGGTTGACTCTGAAAGCTGAGCCAACAAATAGCGTTCATATTCTTAGGACTAACGACAGTAGCCTTCCTCAGCGTGATGCTGCTCATCGGGCTGGACCGGAGCAAATCACTGCCATCTCGAAACTTTTCATCACTGGCCTTTGTGACGCTACGGCAGCATCGTGTCAGAGCAAACGCTCTGGAGTTAAGGCGGAGTTCTAGCTCTGTTACACTCTAGATGTGTGAGTTTGGACAGGTCATTTATATTCCTTGTGCCTCAGTTTCCTTATCTATAAAATATCAGTAAGTACCATGTAGGATTGTCAGAGGATTAAAAAAGTTAGTCTTTATCAAGTATTTTAAAAAATGCTGGTCCATTGAAAGTATATGAATTTTCAAAAAAAAAATCAAAGACTGGCTTGGCTGGTGTGGTTCCGTTGTTGAGTGTCGACTTGTGAACCTGGAGGTCATGGTTTGATTCCCAGTCAGGGCACATGCCGGGTTTGCAGGCTCAATCCCCAGTGTGGGGGGTGCAGGAGGCAGCTGATCAATGATTCTCTCTCATCATTGATGTTTCTATCTATCTCTCCCTCTCTCTTCCTCTCTGAAATCAATAAAAATATATTTTAAAAAATCAAAGACTGGCTTTCTCATCTAAGAGGCAAATCTGGAGGTAACTAATGCTGCAAAAAGTTGTTCCAACAAAGTTATCCTGGGCCATGGCCCCTTGTTTTTCTTGGGAGATTTTTCAGCTGTTATAAGATTGTTATTTAAGGAGCCTAAACTCAGACGTTCCCACTTTCTCTATTTAGAATTGAACAAAGATACAATTAAGCTCTCCACTGTTATTTTCTCTCATAATCTGCTTTATCCCACATTTTCTCATTATGCAGGCCATGGGAAATGAAGCAAAGGTCCTTATTACAAACTGCACTGCAACATAAAATGCACAAACTGTCACTTTTGAAAGTAGGTGAAGATCCATTTAGAAATCTCAGGTCATAGGTTCATTTCTTAATTCAGTAATTCATTTATTGAAAAACAAAGAATTTTACATAATTTCTTGGTTAAATTTTTCAATTGTTTTTTGATTTAAACATAAACATTAAAACTTATCCATAAAAATGGCCCTTTTCTAAAACAAATGAATCAAAGAAAATGCCATTATTATACTGCAGAAAGGCTGAAAGGAATTCTTTTTCTTTTCTGAATTCTTCCTTTTCTTTATTCCCTTAAGAAACTCTTTTATGACTAAAATACTATTGAGGGATTACTATCAATTCTACTTAATTCAGTTCAACAAATGTTACTACACATTCTGTGCGCAAGGCACTATGAGGGATTAACAACATTGTTGGGCGATTTCATCACTGTGCGAACTTCATGGAATGCACTTACCCAAACCTACTGTACTCCTACGCTACATCATATAGCCTATTACTCCTAGGCTACAGCATGTACAGTATGTGATTGTACAACACAACGTGAGATGAAATCAAGTACGACAGAAAATGATGCAATCACGAGACTGCAAACATGAGACTGCTGCCAGAGCAACACAGCACACTGTTACAGCAAACATTTAATAAGTAGAAAGAATACACATTGAATAAGTAGAAGGAATACACACCACAAATAACCATAGAAAGTATAGAACAGTACGTATATAAATCAGTAATATGGCCATTTATTATCATTATCAAGTATTATGCACTGTACATGATTGTATGTGCTATACTTTTATACGACTGGCAACACAGTAGTTGTGTTTATACCAGCATCACCACAAACACGAGAGTAATGCGTTGGTCCTACAACATTTAAGACAGCTGTGAGGACATTTTCTGTTATGCGTATTTTACCACAGTAAAACAACAAAAAGAAACAACTACAGTGTCACTAGAGGATAGGCATTCAGCTCCATTAGAATCTCATTAGAGGCCAGCATTTTATATTCAGTCCGTCATAGACCAGAATTTTATGTACTGCACGACTATAGAGAAAAAGACCTCTATCTCCTTAAGATTCTGCAGTCTAAGAGAGCACAGACCAATACATTACCCCGGGGAAACAAACACATATTTGAATAGAAACTGAAAGAAAAAAGTGCTATGGGCACATAAGGGACTTAGGAATGGTTTACTGGAAGATTGGATTTGAGTTGTGTGTAGAGGGTGTGTAGGATTCTAATAGGCAGGGTAGGGGATTGGGAGGGGCATTTCAATTCTCTCCTAAGTCCAACTAGGGAAAAAAATTGTGTTGTTCCATGTAAGAAATCTTCATTTTCAAATATTGCATTCTATTTTAAGATCATTAAACTCTTTTAAAACCATTCAAGATCAAGTTGACTTGCTTCATCAACAACTAAGCAGACTGAAGGAACTCCCACCCAATTGGGAAAGAAAGTGTATTGATATTCCAATCTAGAGTTTTTAAAAATTGTGCTTCATTACTGATTAATGGGTCAAGGAATTGATTTTGTTGTGAAATCAATTTAGAGGGTCATACCAGTATTAAAAAAATACATAATATAAAGAAAATACCATATGGTATAGTTCTGGGTAAGTATTCTGGTGAAACTTTTATACCAGTTTCATAGAGGTAGATGGGGTGGAGGAATGTGTGTCTCTGTGCATGTTTGTGTGTATGTGCACCTGTTTATACTAGTTACTTGAGAGGCAACAGAGCAAAGTGCTAAGAGACTGGAGCCAGATTACCCGATGTTGAACCCTTGCTCGCCAAATACTGCCTGTGACTTTGTGCAAGTTACATAATTATTTCATTTTAGTTTTCTTGTCTGTAAGAGGGAAGCTGATTTATTGCCTAATTGTGATTATTGTGAAGATTAAGTGAATATTGTGAAGAAATCTTACCTAATAATAGACAAACATGTAAATTGACTGTACCTTCGCTACACTAACCAGCCAATCAGGAGAGTATGCAAATTAAACTAACAAAGATGGCGATTAATTTGCATATGTAGACTCCAAGTGGTGGAGCGAAGCCTGGAGGCTCGAGGGCTGGAGGCCAGCGGAGCAGCGAGGCCTCACGGCCCCAGGGCCGGCTCCGGCCGGAGCCCGGTCAGAGCGAAGGCCTGGGTCCCGGGTGCCGGAGGAAAACCGGTGCCAGCAGCCAGGGCAAAGGAAGGCCTATTGCACGAATCTCTTTGTGCAATAGGTCTCTAGTAATATTTATAAAATGCTCTTAATAGAACTTGATACATGGTAAACTGTGCATGTGTGACCAAGAGTCTCAGGCAAACATTTTGAAAGCCACTATTTTAATTAACTTTAAATTAACCGAAATCCTTTTTTGGTTTGTTTCAGAAGCATTTAAAGGAAACTAAGTTTCATTTATTGCACTGCCCATGAATCTATTAACACTATTAGCCAAACTTTATTTACCCAGATGTTTTATTTTTTTAACATTTTCTTGTAATATATTTTTTCTTTTTTTAATTTCAAGAAAAATGATTTTAAATATAATAAAATGTTACAATAAACATTAGTATTTCAAGAAAAACTCTCAAATATAATAATGTTACATGTAATAAACAGTAGTATCTCAAGAAAAGTGATTTTAAATATAATTTTACCTGGATGTTTTAGTTATTTCCCTTTCGATATTGTACTCGGGTGTTTCAAATCAGTGCAACTACTATTTTTGAGGATCTTCTCTGTGCCAGGCACATACTTCTCTTTCTGAAGACTCCTTCTCTATTTCTAACTCCTTCACCAAATTCTCTTTTACTTCTATTTCAACTCAATTCAGCAAGCATTTGAGTTTCTGTATGTGCAAAGCAATAGGTATGGAAATATTAATACTGAGAAGAGGCAAACAGTCCAATGGGTGAAACACATTTGCAAAATGATGAATGCTGGACAGTGTAGAAAGTACTATAGAGACTAAGAATGGACGCTCCCAGAAAGCAGTAGTCACTGCTCCCTATGCAGGCTGGGGAATGCGTCACAGGCACATTAATGCAGAGGAAGACAAGGGAGGGCGCTTGCAGCAGGTGGTACTGGGTGTGCAAGGGCAAGATGAGTGTGACATGGCATGTTCTGGGAACCATGTAAGATTCCAAGGGGGAGAGATGGGAGAATAGACAGAGGAGATGGATTGAGGCCAAGTCTTGGAGGGCTTTCTATGTTAAAGACTAGGATAGGATACTATCCATTTGGATATCAGGATTATTGATACATTTTAAGCAGTAGGGTAACATGATTGAATCCTTCATTCATGTAACATATTACTACACACTGCCCTTTGCCATGACTGAGATAGGTTCTGGGCTTAGGAGGGCGGAGCGACACCGGAGCAGAGGTTAAGAGCACTGATTTTGGAGCCACATTTCTAGGGTTGGAATTCTGGCTCTATTGTGACTAGCTTCATGACTTGGATAAGTTAGTCAATCCCTCTGTACCTCATTTTCCTCACCTACACAATACAGAGAAGAATAAAATCAAACTTTTAGGATTGCTGTGAGGATAAATTTATTAATATACAGAAAACACTTAGACACTCACTATCTGTCCTTTCGAATCTCTTATCCTAGTGGACAATGTAGAAAATGAAGTAATAATTCATATGAACATATAATTACAAGTTTGCTATTATAAAAATTATATGAAAGAATCAAGAGAGTAACAGGGAGGTTGGAGGGATGCCTTCTTTATTTAGGGTGGCCAGAGGACATGATATTGAATCTGAAGAATCAGTCAAACACTCTTGTCTCTAGACCAGTGGTTCTCAACCTGTGGGTCGCGACCCCCTTGGCGGTCGAATGACCCTTTCACAGGGGTCACCTAAGACCATCCTGCATATCAGATATTTATATTATGATTCATAACAGTAGCAACATTACAGTTATGAAGTAGCAACGAAAATAATTTTATGGTTGGGTCACAACATGAGGAACTGTATTTAAAGGGCCAGAAGGTTGAGAACCGCTGCTCTAGACATTTAGCTCAAGCCCATAACTTCAGTTTCCACCTCTCTGTGATTGTGTCTTAGTCTGTTCAGGTTGTTGTAATAGAATACTGGGAGGCTTATAAACAACAGAAATGTATTTCTCACAGTTCTGGAGGCTGGTATGTCTAAGATCAAGGTGCCAGCAGATTTGGTACCTGGTGAGAACCTGCGTCCTGGTTCAGAGATGGCTGTCTTCTCTCTGTGTCCTCACATGTCAGGGGGGCTAGGGAGCTGTTTTGTAACGTCACTAATCCCATTCAGGAGGACTCTGCTCTCATGATCTAATCACCTTTCAAGGCTCCAACTCCAAATACCATCACACTGGAGATCGAGTTTCAACCTATGAATGTGGGAACACACAAATATTTGATCTGTAGCACAGTGACTCAGGGATGTACTGCACTGGACTTGACCTTTCTCCTGAACTTTATACCTTTCATCCAACTTCCTGTTGCACATTAATACCTTAAGTTCTCTCACAACGGCAAGCTCTAACTAAACTCTATCTTCTTAAAGACTAAGGAAAATGCCATTCCAACAACTTATTTTCCACTCATATTTTTGCCCAAACTCTAAAATGTGTAATAACAAAAGTTAGCCAAAAACAACATATGAGCTATAAAAAAATATGGAAAAGCAAAGTCATCTAGTTAAAAAACTACTACTTTATCAAAAGGTTAATTTAATTATGGAACTATATAAAAAGCTTACTTTTGTTCCTGGGTTTAGGAGGCCTCAAGGATGAGAGAGTAGAGAAGCGGAGGCAGCTTGATGTAATGTACTGTCTTTAAAATATTTTATTTCAGAATCCATAGAAGTAAATATGTTTTACACTGCAAGTCACACATCTGTGCAAGTGCAAAGGCCCTGAGGCAGGATGTGCCTGGCATGTTTGAGTGAAACGCATATGGCATTTGAAGTCAAACTGGCCTGGGCTTTCTGACCCTGCACCTACCAGTCAAGGCCTAGGACAAAGAACTAAATATTCGTTTTGAGGGGTTTTGTTTGGTTTTATATTTTTAGCTTCGGGACAATTAGATTTAAAAAATAGTTTTTAAACTTTATGCTTCAATTAATTAATGTTAAACTAGGTCTTTGGGAGTTTAACTATATATATGGCTAAGTGACTGGCTGACTGGCCAGTGGCTGACTGGAAGGTAGGTATGACATGCACTGACTACCAGGGGTCAGACACTCAACACAGGAGCTGCTTCGGGGGGTGTCAGAGAACTGGTTTTGGGCCAATCCCTCTAGGCCAGGCTGAGGGACCCCACCTGCCAGAGGGACCTTGCTCACCCCGAAGAAGCCAGGGAGGGACTGTGGGAGGTTGGCTCAAGGGTGTGTCCGGCCCGTCTCACCCAGTCCTGCCCCACTGGACACGTTCTAATTAATTTCCTTTAAATGTGCACGAATCTGTGCACTGGGCCTCTAGTATTAAATGTAATTAACCATGTTGATGTTTAATATGCTTCAACCCCACTCTCCCCCCACACCCAGATATCACACATTATCCTGGAGATCCTGGTTAACCAGGCCTCTGTTTTGCCCTCTGGTCCATATTTTAACCCTCAATTGAGAGTCAGTTACTAAAGGCCCAGTGAGTCCCAGTAGGTTCATCATTTGTGATAGGAATACCATAACTCTAGTGTGTACAGTGCACCTCCTCCCGAGAAACTGTTTGAAAGAGGTGTTTACTTTGCGGCAGGTTTGTTTAAAACTCATCTCCTTATTCTCTAATCACACCCAATGCTGAGGGTAGTGCAGGTGCCTATCTTTCACTCAGTCTTCAGCATTTTCATTGTGATTTTTTGTTAGTGTAAGTGATTAGGAATGATATTTAAATGATTTTCTTAATAGTAGGGCAGTAAGCCGAAACCAGTTTGGCTCAGTGGATAGAGCGTCGGCCTGCGGACTGAAAGGTCCCAGGTTCGATTCCGGTCAAGGGCATGTACCTTGGTTGCGGGCACATTCTCAGTGGGAGATGTGCAGGAGGCAGCTGGTCGATGTTTCTCTCTCATCGATGTTTCTAACTCTCTATCTCTCTCCCTTCCTCTCTGTAAAAAATCAATAAAAAATATAAAAAAAGAAAAAAATACAAATAAATAAGTAAATAAGTAAATAAATAAAAGCAAGCTTGTTTTTTAAAAAAATAGTAGGGCAGCAAATAACATTTGAATAGCATCTGGGAAGATAACCAAAATTTTATTCTTTTCAAAAAGTAGTACATTTTTATTAACCTGGAAGAGTAAATCTAATTCAGTGCCTTATAGTATAAAGGTGATGCGACTATGTTGATTGAATCAAGGAAAGGAGAGTCAAATATGTACAAAAGGTAATAATTTTTAAAAATATATATTTTATTGATTTTTTACAGGAAGGAAGGGAAAAGGATAGAGAGTTAGAAACATCGATGAGAGAGAAACATCGATCAGCTGCCTCCTGCACACCCCCAACTGGGGATGTGCCCACAACCAAGGTACATGCCCTTGACCAGAATTGAACCTGGGACCCTTCAAAGTCTGCAGGCCGACGCTCTATCCACTGAGCCAAACCGGTTAGGGCGGTAATAATTTTTAAGAATAATTTCCACAACTTTAAGCAATAAAACAAAACAAAAAAAGAAAACACAAAATAAAGTAAAAGAAAAAAAGAATAATTTCCACAGTAGTGGAAAGTTTTAGCAAACAGTGATCTATAAATCTGATGGCCAGTAAGAAAACACCCTAAAGGAAATTGCCTAAGTTTGTGCTCTGAGGAAAGTATATCAACAAATTCATCAATGGGATGATAAAGTTGTCAAACCAGATATATGTTAAAGCAGTTGGTCTGGATATATAGACTTCTTTTTTGCCTCATAAATGAGACCTGAATTTGAATCTGGATTTCTTATCTAAGAACTTATATACACTATGCAAACTGTACAATTTTTAAGCCAGGATTTTTTAACAAAAATAAGTTTTATTGATTTTGGAGAGGAAGGGAGAGGAAAGAGAGAGAAATATCAATGCCAGAGAATCATTGATTGGCTGCCTCCTGCACACCCCTCACCCGCTCCCTGAGGATTGAGCCTGCAACCCGAGGCATGTGCCTTGACCTGGAATGGAATTGTGAACTCCTGGTTCATGGATCAATGCTCAGTCTCGGGGCCAAGCTGGCCAGGCTAATCCAGGATTTGATAAAGGTTGGCGTTTACACCCCGCGCCAGAATTTAATGCTGATTTTCATCCAATTTGCCTACGGTTTTCTGTAACTCAGTGACTCAGCATATACCTTGTACTGAGAGAAAGAGGTTCATAATCTTTCCTATAGTCGCCTCCTTTGTTTTGATCTAACTTGTTTTCCTCCTCAGGCTACTGTGAATATTCATCAAACCTTGATTCATTTAACAGGAAAATATCCCTCTATAGAAAGAGGAGGAAGTAAACAAAAGAGCATACAGGGTTATTTGTCCTGGGTTATAACCCTGACAATTACAGTGAATTTACTTAATTCAATTCCTCTTTCCCACTGTTGAGCAGTCTACTTCAGTGTAAGCAAAAGCACTCAACACTATTCCATTTTGTCGCCTTTATTCTCCGCAGCCTTCCAAGCCGCGAAGGGGTACACCTTGGATTTTTCCTGGAGCTGCCAGGGCCCTTTGTTTTATGATCTCTCCGGTGTGAATGTTAAGAATCTATGTAATGTGCCTTAACGACTACCTGCCAGTGCTCACCTTTAAGAGTTCACAGCTCTTTCAAAAACCTTGACTCAACATCCTCTGAGAACTACCAAATCTACTGCTATTGTGCAAAAGTTAAAAACAGTTACATGTTGGAGACCAATGTGCAGAGAAGAGAGAGTAGACTAAAGCCAACAAATGATAGTTTGGTCTTTTATTCAGTTCTATTTACCACCCATGCCCAGGGTTGTATTCATGATCTTGATAAACATGGTAACTACATCACATCCCAATCTCAGCTAGATCCTCCCACACTCTTGCCACCAGCCCTCTCCTGCCAACTCCCCACTACAGCAACTACTTGACTGGTGTCCTTCAGTCAGCTGGCTCATCCGCTTCCAGATTACCCCTCCCAGTCCCCTCCCCCGCCCCCTTACTCAGTTTTGATCCAAGCGCCTTCATTGTAATCAATTATTGGTTCTCACTCCTATTATTAGATTTTAATGAGATCCAGCCCTTATTAAACCCTGCTGTTTTCTACTCTATGCTTGCACCAAGGAGCTGAGTCCTTCTGGGGAAAAAAAAAATCTGTTAAAAAAAACAAGATCACAGGCCCCAAATTGAGTCCATTATGTTAAACCCCACAGAGACTTAACTCCTAACGTAATCACAGTTTCAGCCTCTCGCAGGAATGGAATCTTAACCCAGTCAACCTGGATCACCTGGTCAGCACTAGTGAGGTAATCTACCTGACAGAGGCCCCTTACCCCCAAAGACGGTGACTTGGCCACAGCCAGTCTGCTTTTGCTAGTAGCATAACTCCTTTGTCCCACTCCCTTTTGCTTAAAAAGTCTTTCATTTTGTGCAGCTCCTCAGACCTCTTTTCTATCTGTTAAATGGGAGGCTGCCCGATTCACGACCATTAAATAAAACCAATTAAGATCTTTAAGATGTACTCAGTTGGATTTTCTTTTTTCACAAAATGAATCAACAGCCTCAACCACGCAGAGGGAATTTGTGAGCACATTCCAGCTGGGTGTGGAGTACTCCCTGGAAGGGCATTTCCCATGCTGCTGCTTTTCCCACTCTGGGGAACAGACCCCCTCTCACGTGGTCCTCTCTGCACACTGCCCACGCTCCCTTTCCTACCCTTCCTCTGAGCCGGTGAACCTATCTCAACGGAGAAACACGGAAGCAATCACAAGGCATGTCCTCGTTGTCCAACTACCGGATCAGTCAGACCCTCTGGCCGGATCCCAGGCTTCTGCCTCCTCTCCGTTCCTCTGAAGGAGGTCCCTGCTCCTGTGTCATCATCCGGGGAACTCCCCTACTAGGCGCTGAATCCCATCCCTCTGTGCCCGTCTGGCCCTTCCAGGGTTTGGAAGAACTTCACTTCTGCAATTACTTCCTCCTCCTGTTGGCGTTGATTTTTAAATTGCAAATAGCTCTCTGCCTGTAAAGCAGGGCCTCCTCCAGAGCCCTGGGGGTCAGCTCTGTGACATTCTTACGAAATAATTATCTAACCATCCAGGAGGAAACATTTTCCTGCTATGTTGAGTAATGAGATTCTGTGAATTAAACAGACTAAAAACAAGCAAATTAATAAACAAAACAAAACAACCCCACACACAGACTGGCAAGAGAAAAGACAGGAGTCCACAGAAAAATGTGATTCAAAGAGGAGGGCAGAAATAGCATTTTTAAGAGGGAAAGGGGTATGAGAGAAGGATACTTCTGGGTAAACAAATGACTTTTAGGTGAAACAAATGGAACCTTAGGGAAATACATGCGGATGTGACAGTTTTGTGACAATGTCTGTGACAATCTTCCCTAGTTGTGAAACTCCCAAAACTCCAGGTGAGAGGATTTATGACTACTGGGTTTTGAAGGAGGCTCTGGTTTTTAGTCGATAAGGGAGTTACAATTTAAAAAGCTCTTTTTGGTTTGGCTTAGCCTGGTTGGGGGTGAGGAATGTCTAGCAATCTGAATCCATGCCAGCAAGCCCAGTGTACATTCTTGATAACCTATAATTAAGTCATTACAGTGGGGCCTTGACTTACTAGTTTAATAGTTTAATTCGTTCGGAGACCGAGCTTGTTAAGGAGCTCGTTAACTCAAATTACTCTATCAAGTCAATGCAAAAAATCTGCCGAGAGACAGCTGGTATCTCAAAAAACTCGTTAGTCGGGACACTCACAAGTCAAGGCCCCACTGTACCTCTTTCCCAGAAACTGGTCTGGCAGAGCCCGTTAAAGAGGCCATAAAACTGTGAACAGTGCACTGCTCCTGAGGGAGGGTTATTAACGCTGGCGCCAGGCCAGACCATCAGATATGGCCTGGAGACCCCCAACACCTGGGGGCCTTCTTGCAAACCCCGAGAAAAGGACCTGAAGCATAATTCATATTCGAGGGACAAAGACCCCCAGAAAGATATAAAAGAGAAGCCCCCTGCATGTTACTTTACTCAGATTTGAGAAGTTATTCCACTGAGTCCGCCCTCGTATTAAACAGTGTAACTTATTTTCTCTAAAAGCGTTGCTTGGTTTTTCCTTGGTCTTCTGCAACATCATCATTGATGTTTCTATCTTTCTCTCCCTCTCCCTTCCTCTCTGAAATCAATAAAAATATATTTAAAAAAACAATTTTTATGTGACAGTGTCATATTCTGGACCCCTTTTTAGCACTGAGAAACGGACCACTCCATTTCTCAGCTCCTCTCCATAGAAGCCAGAGGGCTATTTGAAAAATGAAGATTAGCTCATCAGTCTCCTGATTAACTCACGCAGGCTTCTCATTGCACTTGGAATAAAATCCAAACGCCTGTCCCCTTCTACAAAGCTCTTCATGATGTGGTCTCCGAGTGCCTTCCTGTTCACATTAATCCCTCTGTCATTAGCACACCTGGGTCTTCTGTAGGAACTAAACACAGAACCCAATTTCTTTGGGACAAATGTGTAAGAGACAACAAACCAAAGATTTACTAATGTAATAACATTGGGAAGGTCATTTGAAAATTGTTCCCTGAGTGTGCTCAAGGCTGTCTTCATGGCATGATATTAATGCAGCTTTCTTGAGTCACCTAGTCCCGTGGTTGGCAAACTGCAGCTCTCGGGCCACATGCAGCTCTTTGGCCCCTTGAGTGTGGCTCTTCCTACGCCTTAGGAGTACCCTAATTAAGTTAATAACAATGTACCTACCTATATAGTTTAAGTTTAAAAAATTTGGCTCTCAAAAGAAATTTCAGTCGTTGTACTGTTGATATTTGGCTCTGTTGACTAATGAGTTTGCCAACCACTGACCTAGTCAGTTGACTTCCCAGGGTTAGCAGCTTGGTATTTACAAGGGCCAATTAACATGCCAGGAGCTGATAATCGAACAGCTAGGAGCTCTCTGCCTTGGAAGGCACAGTCCTGCTCCAGAGCCCTAGGGGTTTTGCTCTGTAAACTTCACACAAGTTCCTCATCCACCATGGATAACTCTTGCCCAACAGGTCTACAGGGTGATAAGGACCAAGAAATAGGCACTCGGAGCATAGCCTGGACCTGACATACAGCGCTCAAAACTGGCGGCATTCTGATGAACCAAGGAAGCTGCCAGGGAGTATTTCCAACAGCTGTTGTTATGTATATGCCCCCTCCAAACCCCAAAGGGGCACTGTCCTTCTTTCTTAGTGTGAAAGTATAAAGCACAACCTTTACCTAGAATTTTACCACCACCTAGAATCTAGGTCCTAGATGCTACAGTTAATGTTTACTATGTCACATTTTTAAGTCCATTTATTGTTACATTTTAAAAATCTGCAGACATAAGACCAACACATAATAATGCTCAATATCTAATGGTAACATTCTAATGTGCTACAGGTAAAATAAAACTATATACCCATGCACTATTTGAATGTGTATTCCTCAGAGTGACTACCAGAAATTTGTCTATTTTCCCAAATAGGCCTGCACATGGAAACGGGGGTAGGGGTGGAGTGCGGTGCTTGTGGATGTGATGTCCCCATACATCTCCTGGGGTGAGAAGGGAGGGGGACAAATGGCCAGGGTCTTGGGTCTCATGAATGAACCCTAGTCTCTGCCTCAGTATCCCTTTAACCAGGATAGGAAAAGCTTGATGGCATGAATGGGGAATCCTGTCTGGTGTTTCCTTCAGAGCAGTGGCTCTCAACCTTCTGGCCCTTTAAATACAGTTCCTCATGTTGTGACCCAACCATAAAATTATTTTCGTTGCTACTTCATAACTGTAATGTTGCTACTGTTATGAATTGTAATGTAAATATCTGATATGTAGGATGGTCTTAGGCGACCCCTGTGAAAGGGTCATTCGACCGTCAAAGGGGTCGCAACCCACATGTTGAGAATTGCTGTTTTAGAGGGAAGAATACTGGGGCCTTTCTCCAAAATTGGTAGACAATGTCCACATGGGACTGATTTGGGCTCAGGGAAGGAATATGAACTGGAGTTCCCCTACCCTTTCTTAGTGACCCTGCCACATGATCCATATATTCCTAGCTCTTAAGAGTTTTATTTTCTTCCATGTGCTAGTATGGCACTTAAATTTATCCCCTCATTAAACACTAATGTCCCACTTTGGACATTGTTTCCTAGTAATCCTAGACCAAAGCTACAAAGAGAATTCCAGCTTTCTGAGAAGCGTTTGACTGTTCCACACACAATCTCAATAAATATTCCAATGGCTGGGGTCCAGTGGACTACCAAAACTTTACTAGTAAAACCTGTGTTGAGACTAATTAGAGACTTGGCCATTAAAGAACTTTACATTCAAAAAGGGCATGCAAGATCAACCAAAGGACTTGTATGCATGCATATAAGCATAACCAATGGACATAAGACACTGGGGGATAGGGGAGGCTAGGGGACTGTCTAGGGTGGGGAGAAAAATGGACACATATGTAATACCCTTTGTAATACTTTAAGCAAAAAAAAAAGGGGGGGGGCATGCAGATTCTGAAAGGGGAGGAGAGGGTCTCTTCAGAGAGAGAATTAAACTTCTTTTAATTTATAACTTGCTCAATTAATTTATATTTGCCCAGTGGTACAGGTCAAGTGGCTGAGTCAGTGTGAACTAGCAGTCTGCCAAATCCCTTTAGCAAGCTATCCATAAAGATGGAATAATCAATTATATTCAAATCAATTTTTTTTGTACCAAAGGAAAGCCCTCTAGGAATGACACTGTATTTAGAAATTCTTGTGCATTTTTTTTAAAGGAAAACCTATGATTGCCGGAAGCTGGTCCATCCTTGCTGCTTGACACAGTCGCTGCAGGGAAGAAACATCTGCACAGCATATGTTTCAAGGGACCTGGCATATATGGCACACTGTTCTTAACATGTTTGCTCCCCTTCTTAGAGCTATGTGTTTTAACCAAGGTCACCTCTCCAAGAAAGGTTGTTTCCCCAGGTGGGGATTTTTCCCTGGATTTAGGGATTAACAGGACTAAGGAAGGGAATAAAACCCCTTAACTAAGTGCCAGGCGGGTGATCACTTTAACTATGAACAATCACGATTAAGCTACATAATCTTTACTTAGGGTAATCTCCTTCAGTTACTTCCTTGTAGTTTAACAGAACAATAGAGTAGTGACCTTGGAATGGAGATAAGAAACGCCCTAACCTTTGGAATAGAATGGATAGGATTAAAATCAACTGGTATAAATACAGATGTAATAGGAGAATAAAAACAGAACCTGGCTGGAGAACCTGGCTATGCTGATCAACTGAACGCTGTCTCCGTGTTATTCCTTCTTCGCCGACTCCGTCCACACCTTTGGGAACCCCTAGACCTGCTGGGGTTGGACCCCAAAATCTGGCACCCAATGTGGGGCTGGAATCCACGACTTTGGGATTAAGAGTCTCATGCTCTTCCTGTCCTGGTGCATGGTGGTCGGAAGAAGGAATTGTTGGAAAATTTTCTCGGAGGTAAAAAATGTTGTTAGCTCAAATAGAGATTCTCAGGGAATGATAGAGTTTCCTGGAGGAGGAATGGAGGCTCAGCATGTTACCCTGTGCCTCACAGAGGCAGTAACTAGGGCTGATGCTGACAATTTAGAAAATATGGAAGGTGTAAGCTTACAAGCAGTAACACTTGCAGATGGTTCTACCACTTATATACAGCACAATTCTAAAGATGGAAAACTCATAGATGGCCAGGTCATTCAGTTGGAAGACGGTTCTGCTGCCTATATTCAACATGTACCCATACCTAAAAGTTGGGACAGTTTACGTCTAGAGGATGGCCAAGCCGTGCAGTTAGAAGATGGAACTACAGCCTTTATTCACCATACCTCCAAAGATAGTTATGACCAGAGCGCATTACAGGCAGCTCAGCTGGAAGATGGCACCATGGCTTACATCCACCAAGCAGTACAAGTCCCACAGTCTGATACCATCCTACCAATTCAGGCTGATGGTCCAGTGGCAGGTCTGCATACTGGGGATGCCACGATTGAAACCATCAGTGCTTTGGAACAGTATGCAAAGGTATCCATTGATGGAAGTGAAAGTATAACAGGCACTGGAATGATTGGAGAAAATGAGCAAGAGAAAAAAATGCAGATTGTCTTACAAGGACATGCAGCAAGAGTAACTGCTAAGTCTCAACAGAGTGGAGAGAAGTCGTTTCGATGTGAATATGATGGTTGTGGAAAATTATATACAACAGCTCATCATCTTAAGGTTCATGAGAGGTCACACACCGGAGACCAGCCTTATCAGTGTGAGCATCCTGGCTGTGGGAAAGCATTTGCAACGGGTTATGGATTAAGAAGTCATGTCAGAACTCATACAGGAGAAAAGCCATATCGGTGTTCAGAAGATAATTGTACTAAATGCTTTAAAACTTCAGGAGATCTACAGAAACATATCAGAACTCATACAGGAGAAAGACCCTTTAAATGTCATTTTGAAGGCTGTGGTCGGTCTTTTACAACATCAAGTATCAGAAAAGTGCATATTAGGACACACACAGGAGAAAGACCTTATTACTGCACAGAACCAGGATGTGGAAGGGCATTTGCCAGTGCAACCAATTATAAAAACCATGTGAGGATACACACAGGGGAAAAGCCATATGTTTGTACAATCCCTGGGTGTGATAAAAGGTTTACAGAATATTCTAGTTTGTATAAACATCATGTTGTTCACACTCATTCCAAACCTTACAACGATAAACACTGTGGGAAGATATATAAGCAGATCTCCACGCTGGCCATGCACAGACGGACTGCCCACAAGGACACAGAGCCAATCGAGGAGGAGCAGGAAGCCGCCTTTCAGCCTCCGCCAGGTCAAGGTGAAGATGTTCTTAAAGGGCCCCAGATCACCTATGTCACAGGTGTAGAAGGGGATGATGTTGTGTCTACACAAGTAGCCACAGTAACCCAGTCTGGGTTGAGTCAACAGGTTACACTCATATCCCAGGATGGGACTCAGCACGTCAACATATCTCAAGCTCACATGCAAGCCATAGGCAATACCATCACAATGTTAACGCAGGATGGCACGCTCATCACAGTCCCTGCTCACGATGCAGTCATCTCCTCAGCAGGGACACACTCTGTTGCTATGGTAACTGCCGAGGGTACAGAAGGGCAGCAGGTTGCAATTGTGGCTCAGGACTTGGCAGCATTCCACACTGCATCGTCAGAAATGGGGCACCAGCAGCACAGCCAACACTTAGTAACCACAGAAACCAGACCTCTGACCTTAGTGGCAGCATCCAATGGTACCCAGATTGCAGTTCAGCTTGGAGAACAGCCATCTCTGGAAGAAGCCATCAGAATAGCATCCAGGATCCAACAAGGAGAAACACGAGGGCTGGATGACTAATCCCAAGAGCAGTAAAGCCAGAGGAGCCTTTCATCTTCAGGCAGCAGAGCTCCAGGAAGCCCGGGGCCCAGGAAAATGGTAACTTTCCATTCCTCAACACTATAATGTTTTTATCAGCTTGGAGAACAGCCATCTCTGGAAGAAGCCATCAGAATAGCATCCAGGATCCAACAAGGAGAAACACGAGGGCTGGATGACTAATCCCAAGAGCAGTAAAGCCAGAGGAGCCTTTCATCTTCAGGCAGCAGAGCTCCAGGAAGCCCGGGGCCCAGGAAAATGGTAACTTTCCATTCCTCAACACTATACATGTTTTTATGCAAGAGTGGAGAACATTTTATTCTTGACACTTTTGTGTATATAACCCTTGGAACAGATTTCCAAATTGATTCATTGTGTACAAGGAAGTATGAAACTAGGGCAATCCAGTAAATTTTCACATTACTCTTTTATCACATTGCAGACTCCTAGAGTTTTTATGTAAGACAGTGAAGTCTTACCGAGACTTAGGGTGGATTTTTAACTTACTGTGATAAAAATAAAATAAAGGCTATATCTAAAATGTCAAAGGCTCTATATGTCACACCATCATAATTCCAAAAGCCATGCTGGATAATAAAGAATTTAAAGCTTTTAAATATTTCCCCCGGTTAGTAGAGTGTCTGCAGCTTTTGTTCTACTGTATATTTATCTGTTTTTATTTTTGTCTCATGGTTTGAAGACTGTTCATTAAGGCTTCCATTCCTGTTAATTACCAGCTCTTCACGCTGAAATGCCAATTATAGTAGCACTACAGTGGATTATGTATAAAATTACAAAGTTTGGTTACTTAAAATTAAAAGGCT